CGCAGGAGTCTTCTCCAGCACCATAGTTCAAAGGCCTCCATTCTTTGGTGCTCAGCCTTTTTTATGGTCACGACTTTCACAGCCATACATTGCAACTGGGAAAACCATACCCTTGAATATATGCACTCTTGTTGGCAGGGTGATGTCTCTGCTTTTTAGTATGCTGTCTAGATTTGCCATAGTTTTCCTCTCCAGGAGCAACCGTGGCTTATGTTATTATAAACCAACTTCTGCTCAGAAAGTGATATTATACAATTTAATAAGGATTGTGTAGACTGCTGGGTTTGGCAAAGCAGAAAATACTTCCCCTCCCCATAGTTGAGGAATTGATTAGATCTGAGCCTGCTCTGAAAATGTTTTTGAAAATGTGCTGTAATGTATGCATAGATTATGGTTCCTTTGCTGGAGGATCATTTTATGCATTAAGGAAAGAGGGACATCAAAGGGAGGGAAATCCATCAAGGACAATAACAACTCTGTTGCTTTATACTCACAGTACTCAATGCCCAAGACAATGTCTCTGAAATAGAGCCAAGCTTGTTCTTCAGAAAAAGGATTGTCACATGGCACCTCCATGACAGGCCTAAAAAATAGGGTGCAAAGATCAAGACAAATACTTTACCAGACTGTAACAGCCATTTTCTTCTGTATTTTTAGGAGCTCATTTCCATTTTTGGTGTTGACTGTTGTTTATGGGATGATTAGATGGGGGAACCAATCAAAACATAGCAACACAGGCCACCTCTTTCTAGTTAATAGTCCTAAAAAGTGGAGAAGGGGGATTCATAGAAACCTGGGGGGAGGGGAGGTCTTTTAATCTCCCCCTAGCCCTCTGCCCAAGGCAGAAATCTTCAACTATCTCAGACAAATGGCTGGCCACCTGTTTGCTTGAAAACCTGCACGGACGGAGCTTATGACTCCAAGAAACATTGGAAAAGCATTGGATCGGGGTGAAATGCTACCGGTTTGGGCCGGTTCACCTAAACCGGTAGTAAAAAATGCTACCAGGTTGTCCAAACCGGTAGTAAAAAAATCTCGCAGTACAGCTGACTGTCGCACAGCTGATCGTTGGAACTTTTTAAATACTTTTTTAAAGCAATTTTTTTACTACCGGTTCAGGCGAACCGTAGTTCCGACCATCAGCTGTGCCACACAATTTATATTCACTAGAAAGCAGGAAATCCTGCTTTCTAGTGAATCTAAATTACACAGCACAGCTGTTTTCCCTCCTTTGCGGTTCTACTTACATTTGCAGACTCAAAAAAGGCTTCTTAATCCAGTGCAAATGCGTGCAAAGTATGCATGCATGCGCAAAGCAAACCGGTAGCAGATTTCAGAGCATTTCACCCCTGCATTGGACCCCAATAAGCAGTGGCTGTTCCACTATTTATTATCTCTTACAGTTGGGAAATCACTCTTAATTTCACCCATTTCTTTGTTCAAGTTATATCCACCTCTCACCTAAATGTTGAAGATACTTAACCAGGGACTTCCCTTCATTTTATTCCCACAACCATCAGAATGGGATTAGATTAGATTAACAGTGTTGGAAGGGACCTTGTAGGTCATCTAGTCCAACACTCCACCTGCCCAAGCAGGAGGCCCTACACCAGTGGTAGTCAACCTGGTTCCTACTGCCCACTTGTGGGCGTTCCAGCTTTCATGGTGGGCGGTAGGGCTTTTGTCCAATACTGAAGCACTTCCCTTTTTTAAATTTAATTGACTTC